AAAAAAACAGAAAGAAAAGGAAAGAAAAGGAAAGAAAGAAAGAAAAAAAAAGAAAAGGAAATAGAGAATAAATGGAACGAAAGAAGGAAAAGCAAAACGAAAAAAACTGGTTTGGTTTCTCAAATTTCGTAAGTATTCTATGTTTGTGATTAAGGAAGTTTTGGAAATAAACAAGGAAGAAGTTAGATGTTGAAACGTCTTTATGGGTTTTCTTCTCTTTGAAGTTGTGTATTCATGGTTGGTTATTGTTATGTTTAAGGAACTGTTAAGAGGAAATATTGTATTTGCAACTCTCTTAATCGTTTGAACTGGATAAAATTCTGCTTTGTGGGTTTTCTTTAGGTTTATTGTGAGAAATTAATGACTGTCAATGGGTAACAAAAATGGACAAAGAAGAGAGGGTTTGAAGATGGAGAAGAAGGGAAGAGAAATAGAGAGAAATTAAGTGTTAATCTTTGATCTTTTGTGTACAAATTAAGGAGGCTATGTTGGTTTTTGAAGACATTGCAGAAGAAGAGAGGTTAAGGAAACAAAAAGGGGACTTTGAGGAAGAAAGAAGAAGGAAGAAAGGGGCGTGCGTTCTGAGTGGAAGAAGAAGATGATTGATGAATAGTGGAAGCGAGAGAAAGGATTTATTGTGGAATTAAAAGCAAATAAGAAAAAAAATATTAAAGAAATTTGGTATAAAAAGAGGTGTATTGGGTGAGGTGGAGATGAAAATAGGAGAAATTCAATGGGTTTTGGTGGGACCCACTTGTAAATAGTATGAGAGAGGAAAAGGTGGGTTGTTAATGAAGAGAGAGAATAGGTTATAAAATTGGATTTTTTTGATTAATTTGGAAGATAATATAATTTCAATTGGAAACAAGAAAATGTTGAAATTAAATTGGATTAAAGCAGGAATCAATATTTTTAGGTCGGGCAGAAATAGGACCAAAGGACGACCGAGTTTAAAAGATTTGTGAGTGGTTACATTACTAAATGTTTTGGATATTATTATTGGAATTTGTGAGTGGTTTATTATAGAAATGTTTTTAGAAATATATTATGATAGAATTTCAAGAAAGTATATATTACGTATGTTTTAGCATTTCTGCTGAGAATGAAAGAAAATATGTTTCTTCAAGAAATTAGAAATGTTTATGAGAATTTAGAAATGCTTTATGATTTTAAGAAATATTTGAAGAAAGTTATGAAATATTATTTAGAAAGAGAATTCAAAAAATGAGATTAGAATTTCAAGAAAAGTTCTTAGAAAGAAGAAAAGAAGAATTTTAGAACAGTTTATGAGATTGAGAAGAAGTTTTCAAACCACCATGTTATTGTATCCAGGTGATTACGTGTATGCTATGTGAATATGTTTCTATAGTATACCAAGAAATAGAATGTCTTTGAGACAATTTTACTCCACGTGTTGAGAGAATTATTCTGCTATGTGTATTGAGATTACTCTATGCTAGTAGACCAGAATTATTCTGCTGTGTGTATTGAGATTACTCTACACCAGTAGACCAGAATAGAATATGGATACATATGTGTTGTTGAGTTTTATCTATCTGTTTGATGTTTGAAAGAAGAATGTTTTATATGTTTTAGAATGTGTTTTATTGCAGGTTGAGAAGTTGGCGTAACTAGGTCGTAGGGGACGCAGGGGAACACTACAACAAATCAGAGTTTTAATGTCGGACAAAAAAAAATACGGAGGAAATGATGACGGACAAAAAAACTTTGAGGAAACAAGGACGGACCAGTTAAAAAGGGCGTTAAAATAAAATAAAAATAAAAATAAAAATTTTAATGATGGGCCAAGCCCGACATTAAAGATTACCCAATTTTTAAACCTAACTCTAGTTTTCACCCAAAAAATATCTGCCTCCCAGCTCCATAGTCTTCGTGGAAGGGTGCACGAACGACAGTGGGAGCGACGGAGAACTCTGACGATGACCTCCATCTCTTCGATCGATGGCGACGTTCATCTCTTGAGCGACATTCAGTTTGGTCCCAATATTTTTCCATATTTTTCTCCTTCCTCTCGATCTTCTTTTCTCTGTTTTTATTTTTAGATGATCTGCTGGAAAAAAGGACGAGAAGACGGGAAGCTCATTTTCCTTTCGATTTCCTCTGCTTTAATATGACTTTCTACTATATCTATGCTCGATCTCATCTACGATTGCGATTTTCTTTTCTTGTTTGTTTTTTGGACGATTTATAATCTAAA